CGGTTCACAGGCCATTGGATAATTAGCCGTGACTTAACGTGAAAACGAAGAATACTTGGGTTTCTAAATCGTTAACCTTGCACCTAACAAAGTAAACAAGTCGCATGTGGGGTTGCCAACTGAAGGAAACTGTCGGTAAAGAAACTCCTAAAAGTTTATATGAATGAGTTTTTTGACAAAAAACTGAAATTAGTGTCAGTTCAATTTTCATTGAATAAGATTTTGTAAATGAAAGACGAGTGTGCAGAAAGCTAGAAAGGCAAGTATTCAAGTAAACAGGTCGCGTCGAATTTAAGTGTGACAAGACAACTCTCGGAACACAAAAACAAATGAAATTGTACTTTCGAAGACTTCTTTTTCCCTTCCTCGTGCGAATCCATTCGTGGTCGTGGAAAATCAGCACGGAGGCCACAAGCGCCTTGGTGGCCGCCGTGACAAATCGCGACGACCTCTTGATATGCGCAGTAGGCAAAATATTCGAAATCTCACTTCCGGTTCGCCTCCGTGAATCACGAACGATTGGTGCTTAAGGTGGCTATTATCGTCCGTGCACAAGGGGTGGCCTGGGGAATCGGAACTTTGCTTGGCTGACAAACTGAAATTTGCACCGGAATTCGAAGTTTCGAGTCTTCCTAGTGGAATACAAATGTTTTATCTTTTGATATGGAGGTATTTAAAGGTCAGGAGTTCACTTTAGCGTGCGAATGGCTCTTTAAAGTCTAGATTTCAAGGCTTGGTCAATGAGCGGGAAGTCACAATCGCAGATTTTGCCTTTTGCAAAAACTTGACCATCAAATCCAAAACTTGAGTAGGGCATTTGAACATAACTAACTGGGAGGGGGGGGGGGGAATTCGAACACAATTTGGTCTCAGGGGAGAGACTTTGAACAAACAAATCTTCAAAAATTCTAATGATGGCGGAGACTGCCCGGGGATTGCCCGGGAGTTGCCTAGGGGGCTATGGAAACTTCAAATTCATCGACGCATAACTATTAAATGCTTTCCTTTTATAACATATATTACCAGGAGTGGATGATGTACCCAAGGGCCATGTTATCAGTTTGACAGTTATACATGAGTTGGGTGCAGGGCTTGATAAGGTTAGTAGTTAACAACACGTGTTCTACCATAACTACTGAAAGATACAATTTTTACAATAGCCACATGCATTCTTTGATACAACGTAGTTATAATCCGTTTCCTCCAAAACTGATGATTAGTATGTCTGCCCGTGACCCCTCCAAAGCTAATAACTTTCACTTTTCAAGTGATTACGACTCGTGAACTGAACGGGATGAAACCTAGACCGAGTATAGAACAGAGATGTCTCTCACACGGATTTGCAGAATACGAATTTCATCCATTCTCTTGGATTTTCACCATTCTCCACTATCGCTTACTCTTTACTAATCAAATATGAAACTTATCTTTGTTTAACGAACATTTTTATCAAATTAGTCCAGGTTTGTTAACACTCAACTTTTTGTCATTTCTTTAGCATATGGTGTGCGTAGATGCGCAGGGAAATAAATACACGGTAAAACCATTCAACAGCAGTGACAAACTTTTGAATCTGGAAGAGGTAATTTTTTCACTTATCCCTTTAATCCATCCAATTAGGATGTTTGGAAGAAAATTCACCCTGTGTTTCGGTGTACGTCCTCGAAAATGATGCTATCTTTTTTATTAAGTGTTCACCCAATTTTATTTTATTTGACAGACAAATATAGGCAAAAGATTCTTAGAAACTGTTGTGGCGAGACAGGAAAGCCTAAAGCGATATATATCATCAGAACTTCAGGACCTGAGGTTTCAAATGAAGAAAGGGCTACTGGCGGCTTGTGGAAATGTTGGTACAGCAAATAGGACTCAAGATGCCTCCAAGGAAAACATAGAGCCGACAAGCAGTTCATTTAATGAGGAGGTGGGTCCACCAAACGATGAAAGCGTGGAAGAATTGCTACAAACATGTGAAGAACATCGCAACTTTTTTCAGAAGATGTTTGAAGCTCTTATCAAAATGACTGCCGAAGTTGCGCAACAAAATGAAGATGACGTAAATTGTATTCAACAGCTTTTGGACTATGCTAAGGAACTCCGGCAAGAAGAAAAAGCACTTTTCTCGAAAATTGAATCGACTTGTACTCATAACCAACTCTCAGACGAGAAGCACGCGGATCGAACTGAAGAATTACAAAAATGGAAAACGCAACATGAGGTGCAATTCAAGGAAGTTGAAAAGCTTCTGTCAGGACTGCTGAATGCTGAATGGAAAATGGAGAGAGGGCTGGGTAATAAAGAGAGGCCGGTAATTTCAATGGACTAACATTTTGTCGCGTTAATCACTTAATACTAAGTACAATTTGTAACTCAATTTTGAAAAACTCAGTGGCGGAAAATCAGGAAACAGTTGGTTTAGAGCGGGGAGATAGACCCAGGTTTGGACTTGGTAAGAGATGAAACTTCGTACAACCAACCGGCAAGGGCCTTAGTGGCTCATACTTATTGCTTATTAAGTTCCTAGTCGCATTCTGCTTCAGGTTTGTATCATCAAATTCAAAGTGGTAGGCAGAATCTTATCATCGATGATCTTGATAAATCTTCTCCCCTTTCTGGTGTTATGTTATTGTCACACTTTGTGTTCTTTTCTTTCTAAAGCCCTCTCGGCAGAAATCTTTGCAAGAACGCATGTCAAAATATCTTCCAGGATATGGAAGAAAGGTAAGGGAATTATGGAGAGGTAACTGAGATTATCAAAACACAGATCACAGGACTGTGTCAAACTGTAGATGTTACGTATCTGGGTATGCCACCATCACGGAAAATATGAGCCATTATAATGCATTCAATATATCTTTGTTCGAATCTGGTCAAAGTTGTCATATTGCTCCTGTCGCCTGTTGTCAGGACAGAAACTAAATGTCTGTGTTGAGATTTAACTATATTTTTGTTTTGTAGAGTCCCATATCTAGACGTTATTCAGAATGTGACCTTCCAAAAGAGACTGGAGCAAAGGTATGATGTAGTCGTTATTAAAATACCACCATCAAGCTAAGAACGTTAGAAAAAAAATTAAAGATTTTTGGCTGTCTTCCTAGAAAGAGAAACTCAAACAGAACTTTTCTAAGGCCCAACAGCGTAAACTTGGCCATACGTGGGAAGAAAATTGCTTTTGTAAGAAATAGACAACTTTTTTGAGAGATATGTTTCCGTCGGCATGCTTATGCCATCTTCAATCAATAATGGCATAAGCATGCCGAAACATGTCCCTCAAAAAAGTTGTCTATTTCTTACAATATTTATCATACTTGCTGCTAATACGACCTTATGAAAACTGCTTTTATCATGAACACGATTATTGAATTGATTATTCATCTAAGACATCAAAATGAAATGGTTAACAAGAACATGTTTTAAAACAATCTATTTAATTTTTGTTCTCTAAGGAAAAGGGTCGAAGAAGCTAATATGCAATTTTCATTGTTTACATAAAACAGATAAACGTGATCGATACTCCAAGTCACATGTTTGTGATAAATTAACAATTATTCGCCGAGATGTCGTTGAATAGAACTTAATTGCTAGTCACTTACGAACAAGCCAATCAACGCGCACGAAAAGCACTGACTTAGAGTGAAGAGAGACTCAGGTTTGGAAGTCCAATGGACTTGGCAAGAGATGGAACTTTGTACAACCAACCGGCAAGGGCCTTAGTGGCTCATAATTGTTGCTTATTAAGTTCTTTATCGCATTCTGCTTCAGGTTTGTTTCATCAGATTCAAACTAGCCCGCAGTATCTTATCATTGATGATCCTGATAAATCTTCTCCCCTTTCTGGTGTTTTGTATTCTTTTCTTTCTAAAGCTCTCTCACCAGAAATCTTTGCCAGAAGGAATCTCAAAATCTCTTCCAGAATATGGAGGAAAGGTAAGGGAATTATGGAGAGGTAACTGAGATTATCAAAACACAGATCACTGGACTGAGTCAAACTGCAGATGTTACGTAACTGCGTAAGCCGCCATCATAGCAAATATGAGCCATGATAATGCGCTCAATATATCTTTGTTCGAATCTTGTCAAAGTTGTCATATTGCTTCTGTCGCCTGTTTTCAGGACAGAAGCTGAATGTTTACGTTGAGATTTAATTATATTTTTGTTTTGCAGAGTCCCAGACGTTATTCAGAATGTGACCCTCCAAAAGAGACTGGAGCAAAGGTATGATGTAGTCGTTATTAAAATACTACCATCAAGCTAAGAACGTTAGAAAAACAAATTGAAGGTCTTTGACTGTCTTCCCAGGAACAGAAACTCGAAGAGAAGTTTTCTAAGACCCAACACCGTAAACTTGGCCATAACGGGAAGAAAATTGCTTTTATCATGAACACGATTATTGAATTGATTTGATCGAAGACATCAAAATGAAATGCTAAACATTCAACTCTGGTAGGCAACCGTACGTACGGAATTCATATAAAGCTTAGCTTTTGTGTTAGGATAATACTATTCTTAAAGGAACACTCTGATGAAACCGCCCTATAATTTGAAAACCCGAAAAATGCAGTTATTTCATTATAATATGAATTTTTAGCCATTAATAAAGCCTTTTCAATAATAACTTTAGTTGAAAGCCTTTTCTAGTGCGAGAAATTACGATTTGAAAATCGCTCCGCCATTAATTTTCGTAATCACTTGCCAGACTCAAGAAGACTGGCGTGAGTTTGGAGATTACTCATTTGAAGTGCCGTGCTCGTGGCTAATTTTCAAAAACAGTATTTTGATCGTATATATTGCTTTTTATAACACTAAGACTATGACTATTTCACTAAACTTCCGAGGTTTCCGTATA